ATCTTGATCCAAATTTTATCTTGCCCCACCTACGATCCACACCTACAGGTGCCTCCCACTCTTGAGAAAATAACAATGAAGAGGGGCAGTATTTATAAACCAAACAAATCCATTCATCACATGATAATCAATCAGTAGAGTGTCAATTTATAGTTTTCTAATCGTAAAAGATTTCTAACCAACACCAACAGTTGAACTGTGTGTCTCAAGAAGTTTATTATTTATTTATTATTTACTCGATATTCTATTTATTAGCATTTTATCCCTTAAAATTATCTTTATCAAGTCAGATTTGTCTATTTATTTTATTTTATTCTTTGAGGGATTTAGATAGATTTAGATCATTATCCTTGTTAGGAGGCAGGCTTGTTGCCCCACGTATATCTATATAAACACTAGACGTCATGAATAAAATATGGCAGATTGAGAAAATTTCTTAGGACTCAGTCGTTTCGACACCAACGAATTTCTCAAAGACAAGAACACATGTGATGGCCAATAACTAAATGGAAAAGGCAGCAGTGAAGTTTTCAGTCAAGTTGCTAACTAAAGAAAATGTCACGTATACTAAATTATAACTTACTGTACTCGTTGGAACACTATTGGAGATCAAATTTGCTGGAAGACCATTTTGGTTGAAATTAACACAAGAGTCAGCCACCCTACTATGTTTGTCCGTCTGGTTGAAGTTATTATCGACACAAGTGTCTGTACATTAAGATAACATCATGAGGTATTTTTAACATAAAGAGACTCGCACAATATATTGACAGATAAGTGGGCTAAGTTTCAATCAAGCAACTAGCACGTTATTCTACTCACACTTCATTTATGCCAATAGAGTCCAGCAATTGGACAACAAATTTCACAAATTCTATGACATGTCAACGGAATAACTCAACCAAAGTTAATAGAAACACTATAACAACTTAGAAAGCTATGCAATTAACCCTCAACTTTTAAGTTAACCATAGACCCCACGAGCATTGACCTTTTGCACAACCCCTGTAAATTTTCTATACAAAACTTAACATTTGCGTCTATGCAACTTGAAACATGCAAAATCAGCAACAAATACATCCAACCTAAAATTACAAGAGGCATATAAATCTTGACCGTCTAAAATAAGCCATTGAATTTTACATGACAGCCTCTTTATATGACCTTATCACTAGATAATGGAGAACCACCACATTACAAAAGGTAATGAGTTATTAAAAGAAAACACTAATTAGAAGGCATTTCTTCTATTAATGAGGATGCATACAAGAAATATAAAGACAAGTACCTACCAGATCTGGGTTTAGATTGCATAGTTTGAGATGAAATGTCAAGACGTTTGTCATGACCCTGCGGCTTGACAACTAATTTCTCTCCTATGCGTAATGGAGTCTCTTTCACACCATGATTAACCTTATTTCTATCTCGTGGATTGCAATTCTCAAATGCAGACTCTTTTGATGGCAACACAGACTTTGTAGCAGGAACCTCTGGCTGACTTTCAATAGCTTGAGGGCTAGCATAAGATCTGCCAAGTTTTAATCGTTTCTTATCTGGCTCCTTCGATTCCAATGGCGCATTCTCTGAATAAGTATATTTTCTAGCAGTGTCACTCTTCAGTTTGATGGCATTATGATCCCTTCCCAAAGTTGAAGTAGAGTCCCTATTTTGCTGGGCTGCCTTTAACTTCAGCTCACTCTCCCGAATTGCGATCTGCTGTCGCAAATCCTGAAGTTTATTGTTATTTGATACCACTCCCTGGTCATTTTTACGCTCCTGACTTGCTAAATTTTTGTTCACAATATAGAAATTTCTAGATCGAGATCCTTGACCCGGTGGGAAGGATCCAGCAACCTTAGAATTAGAACCATGAATTTTGGTTACTGATGAAAAGATGTGTGATTTAATGGTGATCTTTTAGGCACTGACTTGTTTACACTTTTAGCACCACTCAGTAACTTGTATGATTTTGCCGAGGATGAAGAAGGCGGCTTCTGATTGCTATCCAATCTGGAAGTATTACATTTAGATTCAACAGCTTTATCCTGTTTTCTGATTTCAGAGTCGCTACTACTATCATCATCAGAGAAGCTGATCACAAGACTTTTATCAGTGCCTGCATGAGTAGGCCACATTGAGGATTTAGGCGGTAATTGGTTCCTGTTAAATCTCTTCTGAGAAACTGGTTGCATGGTTTTCTGCAACTGTATACCATTAGCACCTGCAAAAATATCACAACGAAAAGGCCAACCTTAGGACATTACTTAAGACTATGATTTAATTTGGAAGATGTTGTACAATAAACTCAGATATGGTAAACTCCAACCAGTAGATAAAGAAATGAACATATCATACAAAAAGCACCGAGACAGCATTTACAACAAAACTACAATAAAGTGATACGAGCAAACGTGCAGTTTCCAACTCCATAAGACAAAACATAATTAACAAGATTTTGGCATATTATGAACAGAAATAAACCCTGGTCAAGTCAGAAAGCAAATCTAGAGATCCAAAAAGCAGACCCCAGCTTTCCCTTAGTTGACAGTTAGCAAGACTTACCACCCTGAATGGCCTGAGTATCATTGACGGCTTGAGAAACTGAATTGAACACTACAGCAGGGGAGGGTTTTCCAGGGTTGCACGCAGGGACTTCCTGAAAGACAAAATACCCATTAAAATTAAAAATGCATGAAAAAGAAAACCAAATAACACCTTCATGGGGTCATCCAACTGTCATTTCTCAATTTTTTTTCCTGGATCATAGAGAGAGTAAAGAAAGACCAAAAAAAAAAAAAAAGAGGCTGAGGAATCCTCCTCCCGGGAATACAAAAATACAGAACAAGATGACAACTGGCAAAAAATTTTAAAAAAAAATGAAGGGGAAAAAATCATCCAACAATGCTACCTAGTCCCACAGGTTTAAGTGTAGTTAATCTAGACATCGGATCCTACAGTCGCCCCTCATCGAGAATGAACAAAAGCAACAGCAGACTGATAAAACAAGCAGAAAACTAACCTGAACAACATATTTTAACCAACTGAATCTACATAACGCAAATAAAGTGTGACTTTTGCCATATTCTTGTCACATTCCCTCGTGTGGGTATTCCCCCGCCCCAACCCAAGTCAACGAAGAAGAATTAGATTAAAAATTTAAGAGAGAAAAAAATGTCCTGAGTTGAAAACGTAAGATCACAGAGGGTAGAGAAGACAATACGTCGCCGGAGGAGGACAGCTCGCCTTCTTCTCTGGATTTGGAGGGCGCGTTAAGATTGGGGGTCGCATTTGCGGGCTCCGACGCCATAGCTCGGACCCCAAGCTCACCAGACTCCTCCATCCCCCCTCTCCCTCTCTTTCTCCCTCCCTCTCTCCCTCCCTCCCTCTCTCTCTCTCTCTCTAAGCTTTTCTGGAGGCAAAGCAACGCAGACAAAATCGACAGCCAGAAAAATGGTCGCCTGCCCAGCGAAGAAAAGAACTCGAAGGCGGGCGGCACTGCTTCCTACCATTACCGAATGACCATTATGTCCTTGGTATGACTTTTTTCCTGGTTTGACGGGGGAAAAAGAGTTTTTCTGGTAATCATTATTTTTTTTAATTATTACATAACTTTTATTTATTTTTAAAATGCATGAAATTTTTTTCAAAATGGATAATAAGCCATGTAAAACAATAACTAATTTTTAAAATTACATACGATTTTATTTTTTTCAAAAATATACATATACATATTTTAAAATGAAAATATCAGTATATCTGTCAAAAAAATCGGTACAGTATTATTTTAATGGAATTCAAAACAATTTTTATAATTTGTTTTTTTATTTTGAAAACAAACATCAATATAGAAAACCAGGTAAAATTAAAATTTACGCACAGAGGATACAAGAGACATGTATGTAATTTGATTTTGTTTTTGAAGTATAAGACATAAAAACTTGTAAAACAGTGTCTTCTTTTCAGAGTCCATATAATGTATAAAACCACACTTGTGTTTTTTTTTTTATTACGCAGGCCCACATATGACAACACACCGGCCAGTACACATAACAGTAGCTAAAAAAGTCACGAAGATTTACTACCACCGTGGATGTATAAGAGGCCAAACAATTTACACTTGTTTATTGGTAGGGAAAAAAAAAAGAGTAAAAACCACATTATCTAAACGGCTAAGGTGCATCCAGTGCATTTTTTCATCTGTATCCAACATTTTGAACTGTCCAATAATTTAAAATATTTTGTGACGTATCTAGCACCTTGAAATATTTTTTAGAGGCATCGAGCACTTTGAAGTATTTTTTTGCTTTGATGCCGAATACATCAAAAAATATTTTTGGCGGTTAGATGCACACACAAAAAATACTTTAGAATACTGAATATACTAAAAAATATTTGAGGATTTGTTTGGTATGAGAGAAATTGAGGAGAAGGGAGGGGAGAGAAAATTTTAATGAACTCAATTTAAAAAATTTGAATAAGCGGGTTTAATCAATTTTTTACCAGGTTAATTAATTTGTATTACTCTTTTATATTATTTCTTTTCTTTATTAAAATTTTAAGCCTCACTTCGTCAATTTTTTAAATGAAACTCATTAAAAAAAAAATTTCCCCCTCCTTCTCCTCTATTTCTCTCATACCAAATATTACCTCTTAACCCTTAATTTAATTATGTTTTGAGTGTAGCCTGGTGTTAAAAAGAAATTTGAGAGTAGAAGCAAACTTCTTAAAATTATTTGAATGGAATTTTAAAAGCCAAAAATGAAGCCTTCATGTGAAGATTTGTCTTTGCTTCTCTGCCAGAGAAGCAAAGCATCGCTTGGAAAATCGTCAGCCCAACATATTTATCAGATTTTATAAAGTCACAACCAAACCTGAAACCATAATGTTATAGATTCATTATTTTTTTTTTTTTATAACCGTATCCTTTTTTTAAATTTCGAAGGATAAAAATGGAGAATGAAAATTACTACTTTTAACTATTAATCATTAAAAAATAATAATTAAATGTAAAACCAAAATGATATTACAATTAATATTCTCATAGACTTCAACTTTCATGGGGATAGCAAAAAGTACATCAGGTAATACATCTTAAAGAACAGAGTCCGGTCCGATATTTAAGTTAAACTATGCCGTTAATTATCAAATATTATCCTTACAGAGTTGGCAATACAACCTCGAAACAAGGCTAATTTACAAATAAATCATGAGATCTCTCCTTGCAATTGCCAATCAGTCCCCACTGGCACAGCCCCTGCAACCACAATGAACACACTCTATGACCTTCTCCTCTCTCAGTTGCTTGGGAACTCGGCAAACACAGGTGGTGGCAAAGTTGTGATCCCGTGGCTGCATGCACCTCAAGCAACATAAACGTTCATAGCCAGGCTGCAATTTCAAACAAGGACAAGGTTTGTTAAGATATGCTACACATGATTTTAACGGCGATAATCAGAGTTTTCCAATGGATGGTTCACAACTTTAAATTCATATTACAGAGCACTAAGCACAATAGATATATTATTCATGGTACAAATTTGTATAAGTCATGAGAAGTACCTTCTTCCATTTTGCAATCAAGTTGCGGTCAGCATATCCTTGTTCTAAACAAAATTCATACAATTCCTTTGAAATTTCCTTCCTCCGGTGGTAAAGGTCAAATATGTAGCGGCTCTTCTGATGTGCAATCTTAAATATAGGCCATAATGTCTCACATTTTCTCTTATTATCATGTGGATCATTCTCCGCTGCCACAGAAATAAACATTATAAAACAGTCCCGAAAACATAATAAATTTGGTAAAGCATGCAAGACATATATTACCTTCCCTCATTTTTGCTTGGAGTTCACGAAGGGTAGGTTCAATTAATTCCCATCCCTCTGGATATTTAACGCGGTTAGTCTTTACTTTAGGCATTTTCCTATCTGTCAGACGAAACATGACATTGGAAGATCAATTGCCACATTTTCTACCAAACTATGTGTATTCTACTTAATAAGCAAACATTATCAGAAAAGCTATCCAATCAATATGTTCAGATAAAAACTATCAAGGTGAAAAAATAATCAGTTATCAAACAAACAGCTTTCAGCATTGCACAAGAGAAAGACTGTTCCCTTACGGGCACAAGTCAAACAGAGGTTTTCTAAAGAGAAATCAAAATATTAAATGATAAAAATTTCAAACTCTGCTTGCCAGTTCATTTAGTTTAGGATAAAATAGTTCATTTCAATAAGCATAAAAAGTGGAAAGAAGTTTCGATCATTTCACTACCTTCAAAAGTGAAAATAAAGTTTCCTTCCTTTTAAAATTCCAACTTGCAAACTTGCACTGCAAACAAAGGTCAACATCAACTCAGGAAACTGGTTACGCTGCTCCCATCCCATGTTTAACTTTAACATACTAATATTCTCCCGGATCTGACCCTAAACTTTTCAGCAACTAATTGGATGCTACTCAATCCAAGGGCAAAGACGAAAACATAAGACCAATCATTTTAAAACACAATCAGAGGCCCATTGTTTTTAAAGACCAATCACTTCAAAACACAATTAGAAGCCCATTGTTTTAAATAGGTCAATATTAACGCAGAAGCTATCCAAATGAAGAGTTAATATCAATGGAATATGCATAGCAAATATCCCGAATAAAGGGCACCAAACACCCAGTGATGATTCTTATGACGATAAATAAACTACAATAATCACAACTCTTTTTCAGTAAACAGGTAGCTTGAGAATTGAGAGCTGAATACATCTAAGAGGCTGTCATGGGACTCCAAAAATATTCGATCTCAGGTCTCATCAAAATGGGATGTCGCATGAAGAATAATAAGAAGCAAGAGTTGATATTAAGTAGCCAAGACCGAATAAGGAAACAAGTTCGCTGCAATTGGGACTCGTTGCGTTATTCTATCTGATACTGTTTAACCAACTTCAACAGTGTAATTCAGGTTTGAAAAATTGTCACGCTTCGGTGAATAGAAACTCCAGTTTCAAGAAGGAATACAGCTTACAGTGATATCAAACATTATATGGAGGCATAATATAATTTAGGACATGGCCAAAAAAATAAAAAATTTAGGACATAATCTATCAGACTATTGGATTTCAAAAGAAGAATGGCGCAGCAGAATGGAAGTAAAAGGTAACGCAAGAAAAGAATAGCAATTAGATTTCACATCCGAACTGTTCCACATCCGAACAGAAGATGGCGAGGGGTAGGGGAAAGAAGTTAGGTACCTGAATCGACGAATAACTAAGAAGCTCTTCTACAGCAAGTCGTCGACGGTCGACTGCAGTCCAACTAGGGTTCAGGTAAAGGAGGGCAGCACGGTTAGGGCTTATGCTGACAGCGACCGGGACCCAAAAGACTTTCTTGGGAACATCTATTTGCGTGAGAACGATCTACGCCCCTTCTTAATTTACATCAGATGCAAAAACAGAGCAGAACAACGGACTAGCAGAACCCAAAAGCATGCTCGAATTGAAAGAAACAGAAATGCAACAAGCAAGAACCAGAGCAGAACAAAGTGACGCGAACGGAAAAAGGCGAGCAAAAGAAAGAAGTAAGAGCGCACCTCAATGTAGGCCGAAGAAGATCGCGGCAGCAGCTGCGTGCCCAATGGCTGCTCTCTGTGGACGGAATGGAGATCGAAGAAGAATAGAGGCAACGGACGCCAGGACAGCGATTGGTTCTTTTTTTTTTTTTTTTAATAAACTAGCATTCTCCTGTATTTTTCCCTTAACCAACAACATTCTCCTTTTTTTTTTTTTTTAACTCTATTATATATAAACGTTAGGTCTAACAGAAAGAACTAGTTTTTCATAACGTGACGAATCAAAATTTAAATTTCTGTTGAGAGAGGTGTCTACATTTAGTACCCATAATAGCTTGAATATGATTGCTTCCAATAAGAGAATACTTATACTTTAGCAAAAAAAAAAAAAAACCTCTATTATATATAGCGCATTTGTAGATTTTTGTTTTTACTGCTCTTTATCCATGACATACACTTAAAATGTCTGAAATTTGAATCAGTTTTTTTCATTGTTATTCCTATTGATTACATATTATATTACTATCATTTGATCCTTATTATAAGTTTTTTATAAAATATTTTTAATCCTAAATATAAGTTCATTAAGAAGGTAAAAAATTAATAAAAATTAAAAAATTATGATGATATGAAATAAATTGGCACACTAATCATTTCTCACCTGCCTCTTTTCCCTCTTCACTATCCCTCATTCACTCTCTTTCTTTATAAATAAAAATATTTTTCAAAATAAAATATTTTCTCATAAACTTAGTATGTTTAACTAATTTTTTTTAAAAAATCATATTGGAGGTACTTATACTTTTCTCAATTTTTAATTTGATACGTATGTATTTTTTCCTCTTAATTACTCCCTCTAATACTATTTATAAGATCCCAAAATTTGAATTTGTTTGGTCTTTTTTATAAAATCCTATGAAGAATTGTCTGAACATTAAATACATTTTTACTAAATTTACCTCTAATTAATTTTTTATTCTCTCTCCTCATTTTTTTTCTTACATTTCATTCTCTTTTATCGTTTATCTTATTACTAATATTTCTCTCTCTTATATGCTCTCTCATTAAATAAGAACATACTTCAAAAAAGAAGTTTAATTTTTACATACTTATTACTTTTAACTAGTTTTTAACTGTTTTCTCAAATCGTGTAATTTAATTAATAGAATCTTATAAAAAGAAGTGGAGGGTGTAAATCATTTGATTTTATTTTTTTTTTCAATGACATTAGCTCTTATAAATTTGTTCCACTAGTGTATTTAGCCTTTATGCAAAGGTTAACAATGCTGCTAGGGAAAATTTAAAAATTTAATTAACAGAGAAAAAACGTATACATACCAAATTGAAAATTGAAAAATTCTGCAATTTGGTTACTTCCTTTTTTTTTTTTAAGGTGCAAGTATATTGCTATATTATATAGGACTCGCGCAATGTTTACCCAAATACAACAGTACGTTGAGCAAGATAGCCCAAGAGGCCCAATTGGATGAAACTAAAGCACCAAGAAAACCCAAAGCGTGCGAGATCTAGATGTTTCTAAATATCCTCTAATTTGCTGCGTGTTCCCGAGGAACAAACAATAGACGGTAGTATATTATAAAATAAGTTTTTAAAAAATAATTGTAATTATTTAGAAAGGAAAAAAATATTCAAAGCCAGACGCCACATAATCCTTCCAAATCCCGCCAAGATTACACTCCTCCGATCTTTATTATAAGACCTAATTATTAAATTAATTTTGATCCTAAATATAAAACCTATTTCTCATATATATCAATTTTTTTTTAAACTATCCTTCAAAATACTCACTCAACCATAATCAAGTAGGTAAGAAAATAAGGATATTAAAAAAAATGATTATAATGTTTTAAAAAAAAACATACCACATCCGGTCCTAATTATAAGAACTAATTGACTAATTTGAGAATATTAAGAAAAAAAAAGTTAAACTGGTTATTTATAATAAATAGGTATTATCTTTCTAAAATATTTTTACTAATCAAATGTATTAACTAGAATTACCATTGTTAGAAAAAACTACCTTGAAAAAAAATACATAAATATGAGGAAAAAAATGAATTGGGAGGTTATATTTCAAACCAAAATAAATATCAAATAAGATCTTATATTAAGAACCGGAAGTAGTATCATATTTCTTATTATCAACTAATTTACATTGCTTTCTTAATCTAACCAAATTAATACTCCTCCGATCCTTAATATAAGACCCAATTCTTGAGTTGGTTTTGATCCTAAATATAAAACCCATTTCTCATATTTATCAATTTTCTCTAAATTACCCCTATGAATACTCTCAACCATAATCAAATAGAAGAGGGAGAGGGGGTATTAAGAAAGATTATTATGATGTTTTAGAAAAAATGTGTCACTTTTTTTATAATTACCTAACTTACCTAACTTCCTTAATCTAATCAAATTAATTAAATAGGTCTTATATTAAAGACAGGAGGAGTATTTTCTAACACTGGTCACGGAGACTATCAACGGGAAAGTTGTAGAGAAAATTATATGAAGAAACAAGCGTATGTACATATATGCGTAATCTCCGAAATAAATGTTTCGTCATCCTTCAACAACCAATATAGTTCTAGCATCCCGCAGAAACAATATTTTTCGTTTTCCATGAAAACAGTAGAACGACAAAAACATTCCATAATGGTCCAAAACTCGCACGTTTTAACTGCATACCAAATTGCCCTATATAGCTTTGCGCCGCAAAAACCCTACAAAGATCTACATAATTTCTCAAGAAATGTTACAATTTTCGCAATTGAAGTGTCAGATCAATTTTTTAAAAAAAAAAAAAAGATGAGATAAATAAGAGGTAAAATATTTACACGAAACAAGGGGCAGCTAGGATGCCTCTAAAAGTAGCCATCCTATGATACCCCTGACAACAAATTGGGTTGAAGCGTGACAATGTACAAATCTAGAGTGTTCTTTCCTTGAAGGCCCTGTATGCCCAGTAAAAAAGGCAAGCATATAGGCCACCTTCAAAAATGACCAAAAAGAGATGGAGGCTCCATGAAAATCCAAGCCTGTACAAAAGAAACAACCTTCGTGAAGTTATGCAGAGTCTCACCAGAATGCAGTGCATGCCTGCTCGCACCATCTACAAACAAACAAGATGAAGGCAAAACATGTTGCTAAGGTAACTTCCTCGGTGTGAATTTTGGGATAAAAATACATCAGTTTCTCTCTAAAGCAATTTTGGAAAAATATACTCCCCCCCGGTAGGACCCATTTTATAGTATAATTATAGTGTAACTTAATACTATAAAATGGGTTTTACATTTACGACCGGAAGAGTATTGTCAAATTGAATCAGACAAATCCACCAAAATAAACCCATCATCCAAGGACAGACAGAAAAACAGGCTTATGAACTGGAACGACGTAAATAAATAGTCATAGAGAGAGAAGGAAGTTACCTGAGAATACGTCAAGGCTTAGATCAGCAACATTCAGCAGCCGCATCCACAATGAAGGATCTCCAAACCTATCCCTTGACAAAGAATTTTCACTTAAAATGCTACCAATCCCTGACTTTCAGGCCATTACCAAACTTACAGGGGTTTTCCCAAATGAACAGGCCCCTCAATGGTTCCAACACAAGCTGAAGACAGGAGATCATGGCAAAATCTAACATGGCTCACCAAACGTGTAATTTGACAGGAGACCGATAGGCATTGAGGTCTTTCAGCACGTACTTGTTTATTTTCCTAATTGTCAAATATTTCTCAGAACAATCCAACATATGAGCACACTTTACCCCACTGGCCTGTTTTTACAATCACAAGAATACCCTTCTGGACAAGCTTGAAAAACATTAATATTTTTGTATCTGGATATAGGTGTGTCAATCACATCAATTGAATGATAGATGATGAAAGATCCAGAGCTTCAACTCCCATTAATGCTCAAACTTCTGCACCACTCCAAATCAATAAATATTACCCCCCAGAAAGCCAGGTCGAGCAAGATCACAAGTCAATTCCAAGGTCATTTGCCAATTGAATTATTCCACGCATTTGAAGGTATGGATTCTCCAACAATTTTTCATTGTTGCTCTGCGCAGTACAAAACAAAGCACAAACATGTAAGTATGCTCTCTTTTTTTGCCCCCCCCCCCCTTTTTTCAGAAGTCCCCTTTCTGGGATAAGAACAATGAGAAAACTGTGAAGCAAACAAACGTCAGGGTATTCAAAAGAAAAATAGTTTTCACTAGCACATAGGGCATCAATCCATGTCCTTTGGGATACCAGCAATACAATATGGTCTTGCTAAAGTCAACGCCTTAAAGAAGTCTGTCAATATGTGACACATCAGCGACATTCAAGAGAGACAATGTAAAGCTTTAATAGTTCCTGGATACTCCAGACTTTATCACCGGCTTATTTGTGCATGCGTTAGTATTCATGCTTCGTAGGTCACGAATCTATACAAATATTAGGTATTTGCAACTTGCAGTATATCCAGCGCTGGCATAACTTTGCCACAATGGACCAATGTTCCCTTTGCAGAATAAGCTTAATCAGCTTGACAGGAACAGCATAACATACAATATTAAACTCAGCCTTTACTCCAACCAAACGGTTTTAAGCCTTTTGCTGTAAATATATTTAACTGTCAACTGCATTAAAGCCTATATGAAAACCTGTTTCACGATCTGTGATTTTTGTTTTCCAAAATATTACGCTAGTAAAAGTAATTCCGTTCAAGTTTCATGCTGGTTCATAATTTTTAACCCTACCAATTTGGACTGAATATTTTAGCCAAGATGCATGTAGTCCTTCACTGGCTGCTATCTTATTGGAAATAAGCTAGAGTGGCTTTAACCAAGATGGATCAAAATTTCTCTTCCCAAAAGTTTGATAAGTATGAACCGCACAATCAAGTGGGAAAAATTGAGCCTTACACCAAGCAACCTATAGAGCTCAAGAAGTTCACAGGTCCTCCAAAAGCCAATCTACAAGTAAACCTCAAATTCTTATCACTAGTTTGCCATATGAAGCATAAGCACCAACGATTATCTTCAGATCTACTGGTATATTCTTCTCAGACACTGTCATGTTAACCTTCTAACCAGCTGCGGCTAAGAACTTTTCTCCAAGAGCCACTATTTATGTACTTTACTTCATTGATTAATGACTAATGACAGTTGTAAGACTTCTCGAAAAGCCATGAACCACATATGAAAATTAACTGCTAAATTAAATTTGTCAGCCTAAGTTTTGATAACACTATCAGTGGAGTTACAATCAAATTACTGAAGATGGAGGTACCTGCTGTGCTCTGACAACAAGATTCTGAAGCATATGTTGATATTTTTCAGGTTTCTCAGTCATCATTCGCTGCACAAAATGAAAATTTTTACAAAAACTAATATTTAATAATGTAAGAACTTTTATGTATTGCAAAAAGACTAAACATCAAATAATCAAATCAAATTCCTACCTTCAGAAGAAAAGCAGAAGTGTAATATGCTACCCTGGAATCTGTGTCATCCAAGAGTTCCCTGCACGAAAGAAGGATTCATTGCTTGAAATGTCATACTAATAAGCCAACTCAACCACAGCGAACATATCAACATAGTAAGTTTAGAAATACCTAAAAAATTGTTCGTGACCAACTTCCTGGAAAGCAGGAGGATCTGCAGTGCATTTACCAATAAGAAGTAGGAGAAGGGTGGCTCGAATATCTGATGTAGCACCAGGAAGGTTTCCCCTTCCTTTACTTCCGACAGCAACACCCAATGCAATATTGTCAGTTGCTGCTCCAGCCAGTTGGATTAATGGCCAGTATAGCAAGGCAGCAGGAACACGGGCAATCAATTGCATTGGGACAATGGCTCGCCCTTTTAGAAGAAGTGCTGCCATCGATGCAGTTTCGTGATCCAGATAGAAGCTATTAGAGTAGCTGGATCTTGGGTCAACTTCTTCCTTGTTAAGTTCATCCCATTGAAAAGTATCTTGTCTGAGGAGTCGATTATCACCATCCAACTTCTTATTTTGACTCAGGCATTTTAAACTTCTGTCAATTTGCATATCATCTCCAAAGGACAGTGCTGCTGCAGGCGGAACTCTAAGGCACAATTGTGAGAATAGAATATCGCACATCTGTTCAGAAAGAGAATTGGGAAAGTTAGGACTAATATATCATAAAACACTTGGGAATAGAGACTTGAACAGAAAACTCTCATATGCTGCTCCGGAAATAATCACAAACAAATTTTATAAGTGAATTTATTCTTCAGGAAACTTTGTTAATCTAAACTCATATTTGCATTTCTTTCGCCCATGTGGGTTCCTATTGATTTCAGATTCTGTGGGCATTTAGTTTAACATAAAAGACTTGTTAAACATCATCAGTTAAACCATTTCCAAGCATATGGAAGCCATTATATAAGACCTAGCTCTATCAGAATTTACTAATAACTAAAGGCAAAGACTAATGCAATATTTGGTATGTAGAAAAGTGTTTTCTAGAAAGGGAATGGAAAGTGCGCCTTTCCTTTCCGAAAGACACATTTCTAAGATCACACATTACATAACTTACATAAGAAAGTTTCTGTATTAGGGCAATCCACAATATCAAGGTATTGATTCTTCTATTACTTGATAGAGTAGCTAGATAAACAACATGCATATTTACTTCCAACAGATTTTCCATCGCTATTGTGGCTCACCATGCCTTTCTATGTATTAGTAAGACGTGAAAAGGGTTTTTGCAACAAGTCATTTTGAGCTCAGAAACAATTACTTTTAGAATATTGATACGGTCAGTCTCATTTATCTGAAACACCAGCCCCAAAGCCTTGCTCATTATGTCTATCACAGCATTGGCTTTCTCTAGATGCCAATCTTTCTGCTCAGGCCCATCAGTGCTGCTAACATGCTGCATTTCATACTCATCTAACAAAAATTTGCATCTCATAAGAAGCCTTTCAAGAACAAACAGGAACCCCCATCGAATAAAGTTGTGTTTTGACTTTAAAAGTCCACACATAAGTGATATAGGCAAAGGTACATCTGGTGCATCTGAAGAATCCTGAATTCCAGGATCAGCAATTTTCTGCAGGAAGTGTTTGATATTTGACCATATACTTCCACCCCTTCCCCCACTAATTTCAGCAATAAGCAGATCACCTAACCATATATAACCATTTTGACGGCAAGCCATTCTTTCAGAGTGAAGAAGGGAGTGTAAAGTGGTCCATGAGAGCTTTGCCTTCAGACCAACACCATTTCTTAGAGCCACGCCTTCGATATGTTCCAGAAATTTGTGTGATTTCGTCATCTGAATCATATAAGAGAACTCTTTGTCCAAATGAGTGAATGAACTTATTATTACATCAAATTTCTCTGCTACGATCTCCAAGAGCTGCAAACAACCAAAAGAAATAAGCACAATACAGTTTAGAGAAGTTTTCTTTCGGCCAAAAGTTTAGAGAGATTTTATTAAACAAATATAAGAGGAAAACGAAAAACAAAATATCAAGTCAGGTAGCATCATAGCAAAATGGATGGGACAATGATTAGTGAATAATAGAATATTAACCTAAAATTGAACTGAGCACATCACAAGTTACCATAAACTACTGATATCATCCGAAGTACCTTGGCAGTAACAAGTAATACAAAACTGCAAAAGCATGTACACTAACATTTCCTGTATGCTTCGTTTTCCCCCAAAATGAATATATAATCTTGGTTTTCATTGGAGAGTAATCTTTCTAATTGCTGTGGGTATTTAAAAAAAAAAAAACCATATTTTCACCGAAAATGAATATATAATCTTGCTTTTCATTGGAGAATAATCTTTCTAATTGCTATGGGTATTAAAAAAAACTATCAGGTAACGATAAAGAGAAATATAGATAGTTCTCATTCTGCACGTATGATCCAAAAAGCAGCATTTTCCCCCAACACCAACAAAAACAAAACTGTGGAAACAGAAACCAGATATTTTGTGCAGTTTGTAGGATTTAGATGTTGAACCTATGGTTTAATGTCCTATTGATGTCCAGCCATTCTACATAACAAGCACTAACCAAGAGAGAGGTTAAGGAAAAATAAAATAAAAATTCATAAAAAAGTATAGTTCCTCTCAAACTATATTGCCAACTGACAAAGGAAAATAACAAGGATGTACCATATTTAATCGTTCACTGTTAGGATATCTGGACAGCGCAGATGCTATTGACCTTCTCAAAATTTCACCAATGCCTTCTACCCCTAGTTTAACAGATATATAAAATGCCTCGGCTGCATTAGTTTGAGCAAGCAACACAGCAAGAGGTTGAATCTCATCATCACTATATTCGTTGACTCCTGTAGCTATACATGTTTCATTTATTTGATGAAGAACATAGTCAAAAAGCACCGAATACAAATTTCTCCTCTCTTCACTTGAGTTTGCAAGGGAATACTGCATTTAACAGGGAAAAGGTTATGCAATATACAATGACAACAGCTCAGGACTTCACCCTACCCTTCTCCCACAGGCAGGAACAGTATACATTCGTAACTTAACATTCAGAGAAAAAATAACAGCAGTCATTTTCCCCTCAGACTCGAGTTATATGAAGATTGTGTTACAAGACATGCATACCCCAATTAAAATAAATTGAACTCCTCCAATCAGATCAAGCTGATCCACAAGAAACTTAGGCGTGCTCGGTACAGCATCAGTGGCTTCATCAGGAACCTGATAAAACATGTTGGTTAACAAAGAAATAAGCTTACAATGAACTAATTCTGCCCAAGAATTCTTCCAGCTGATTTCTATAAGTGCCTTGATCACCTGAAAGACATTATAAAACAAATCAAACAGATATTCCACAAGTGATATTGACATCAAGCACATAGCAATATTTAAAAAAAAAAAAAATGAACAAAGGACGGATGGCCGCAAAATGACAAAAGACAACAACTGGCAAGATTTAATAAGATCCGGCCATAATAGCCGTTTCATTTCATGTTTTAAATATATTAAACCACCCAACCTATATTAGTCCCATTAGCCTAGAAAGCTTGACAGATGCTGGTTACTGTAAATACCCGTAGGTTTCATTTGTGCAACAACGTTTGACTTTCCTTGAAAAATCTGCTCAGGGTATTAAATTGGGCATTTTTTATATGAGTTTCTTTTTTCTTTTTTCTTTTTTTAAACAAAGTTATCCAGGAACCACAATTTTCCTTGGCCTATGGTAACCCATAAAACAGGGGTAAGTGGAAAACGTAATCCCAACTATAACCTTGGGATTTTATGATTTCCATCTCTCCCTTTTCTACTTTGCTGTTGCAAGCCTCTCCTGCTTCTTGTTCCTCATTGATTGTTCATCACCAATGCTATATCATTTTGGCACTTACTACATAGAAGTTTACCAACTCATGAATGGCAGAGAATATCATGTTCACTCTCCTTAATTGAAGGCAAGATTTGAGGTCATGTGCTGAAAATAATAAGCAAAATGGGAGAGAACAATCCCTGGACAATTAGAAGGAAGGGAGGAAGCATATTTTCATTGTAAGTAAATGGTGGCCACAGTCCAATATCACCAGGTCTAATATCAAAGGCACGATTAAGATTAGTGAAGAAATTGATAGCAAAACGATTACCTTTATTCGAATGATGTCTAGACACTTATAGGAAGAGATGAGGTTTAGCCACAAGTTGCTATCCCATCAAATCTTCCTAACATCAAGGGAAAAATAATAGCCGAATATCTAAACTGATTTGGCCTAGAAATACAGGGCCCAACGATTAATTAAATAATTAAACATTAAATGCTTGAAAACCTAGGCGAATCATGGCGGTCTCCAACAATTAGAAAGAGAGGAATGCAAATAGAAAAGCTAACTAATTAAACAAACATTCAATGAGCATGTTTCCTGGGTCTAGAATGCCTAGGTGATTCACTCTTAAAGTTCTGCTGCCAAACAACACTGTAGAGTTAAAGAAGAGAAATTCAGTCCTCACCCTTATATCAAGACCTTGCAATCGATTTCTCCAGATCCTTCCTCTATCACATACAAAATAAAGCAAACAGCTAAGTGCAGATGCCCATACAGATTCCTCCTCCTCCTCATTCTGTACAACAATAGGCACATAAGATGGTAAAAGGTTAGGGGAGTGGCTAAGAATCTTCACATGTAAAGCCATTAAAAGAATAACATTTTGCTCTTCCAGAAAAACCACTGCAAATGGTAAAAGCTTCCAAATATCAATCAACCGAACTCAAGCAAATTTATTGGATTATATGTAAAGCCCCATGTCTAACAAGGTAAATCAAAAAATGCCCGGAGCCTCATAGCTTAATGGCACCAAACCACCCCCCCAAAAAAAAAAAAAACACAAACAAACAAAGGGGGAGGATGTGGGATCAATACCTCAAGTGGTATAGGGGGAGTGGGTTTGTGTGTGGGTCATCCTTCCCAATAGGGAAGGGCTAGGATAGAGCAGTCCAAAAAGAAAAGCAATTCAAAGATATATAAGCTTGAAGTGAATCCAATCGAGTGGGTTAGCTATTTTGGTATAATGAACAAAGCCTATGCACAGTTAATACATAAAATTCCACATGGTATCAAAGCCACAAGATTTGGGACCCCAAGAGAGAGAGAGAGAGAGAGAGAGAGAGGAAAAGAAATGAAGGAAGGAAGAAAAAACTGAAAAGATGAGAGAAATGAAAGGGAGGAAAAGGTCTACATCCGCGACTCAAAAGAAGGAGAGGCCCACGCGGTAATTGTCCAGAAACTTGAAAAAAATAAAGGGAATAAAATAATCTACGAGAAACCTAAAGCAAGAATCTCACTCTCAACTCAACTAATCCCAGAAAAATGAATTAATCTGTTTATTCCTCTTGATCCCTGGCCTTATTATAATGGAAAAATACAGAGATGATAAATAAAATAAATCTTAAAAATATCTAAACTGAAGCTAACATGCAAGTCGGTAATGCCACCTATTTCTCCACAGAAAACTAATAAAAATATATAGAAAAAATAACTGTAATAGCCGTTAAGCCCCTAAATCTTCTCTCTGTCAGTTTTCTCCTTCTTGAATAGGTCAGTAATGGTTCTGGTATGTTAACATTAAGCAGGAGCGAAAAAATTGGAGATCAATGACCGGAAGAAGTAGAATAATCTCCCCAAACAATCTTTTATGCCACCCTCTCTGACTTAAAACCAAGCATAAAGCCAACAAATTCCATGAAAATTGCTGGCATGAAAATCAGTTATATTGCACCCATACTTGCAATGTACACCTCTTGAGGGAAAAAAACAGTCGCTCATACAAACTTTTTTAAGGGAAAATTTTTGAGGATGGAGAAAAGAAGATTAATAATACCTGGACAAGAAGAAGTAGTATCTCATATAAAATATTTAAAATCCAACTCTCAAAATTCTCAATTGCAGGGGAAATGTTAATGTTGCAAGAATTTGCTTTTCTGCTTCCTTGGGCCATAAGTTGGGAGTCATCAAAGTAGGGCTCTTGAGAATAATCTTCTTCAATTGCAGAAGCATCATCAGCCATCATAGGTTCTAAAAGATGAGCATGAACCCCAAGGTTTAAAATCAAATCAAAAGCACGAATCCTGCAAGCTGTTTTAGAAGAACTGAGCATCTCCTGAAATTAGCAGTTCAAAAACAAAATTAGCAACAGTGAAACAATTATAAGTATTGTCATGACAAATCTAGCAGTTTATTTATCCATCACCTCAAGCATAGAGAGAGTGAGAGGAGCAGCTGTCCGAGAATCTAGAACATACCTACAAAATATTTTTTTTGAGAGCCATTATCCATAGTCAATGTAACGGAATATCACAACAAACACTATGGAAAGACAAAATGATGGTACAAGTTTAATCAGGCAGATGGCCCCATATTAATATGCAATTCAGGGATCTGGCACTCAGGATGATAGGCTTAACTAACAAAAGATAACTTCACTCAATCTTCAAAGTTCCCAAAAAAAAAATACATGTTAACTGAGAAATACATCACCGAATCTCCAAAATTAGGAAACAGCAAATAACCATATCTGAGCAGTGATTTAATATAATAGTGATTAACAAATACATACATACATATATATATATATATGCTTTCACTTGATCGGCTAAGTTTTTGAACTGAAGTCAATCTGACATGGTATCATAGTCTCCATCACCAAGTGATCAAAAGTTTAATCCTTGCCAACCCTACCTTGCTTGATCAATAAATGAAATTTCAAAAAATGGTAGGTTCTTCATTTCATCAAGTCTTCAGTGTTGGGGGGAATGTTAAAAATACTAATGAAACTGTTCATGGGCATTCACTCAACAAGGTAAGCTTTTTAAGTTGGTCCCCCTTATATTTCACGCAGAAGCAAGGACAATTGAAATATAACAAACAGCGTTATAAGAGATTATAATATAGAACTTTGCATAACAATTTAAGCTTTTGATCCAACTTAGTCTTTGACAAGCCATAAGAGCCTCTGTCACCAATTAATCAAGACTTCAGAGCTTGATCCAAACTACGAGCATGCTAAAAACACTTCAAGAGCTTGAACAGTTTGGAATCACCCAAACTACTAACTGCGGGGGAAAAAACTTGAATACTATCACTAGAAGGCTAGAGCAGATTACCAAGACACGACAAAATTTAGTTCTCACGCTTAAATTAAGAAATGTGCTTTGAGTAAATATATTATAATTTCCATAATCTAAACACTGATTATTTAAGTTGTCACTTTCTTTTCTTTGAGTATAAAGGAAAGACTCGTCAAACTTTCACACTTTATTGATCAGGAAAATAAGGATTGTTTAGATAAGTTTTAACATGTGAGTGTAACTGAGGAAAGGAGGACATGCGTAAGATATATTATGTGCAATCAAGAAGGGAATAAAATATAATAGGCAAATGCATTGAAACATACATGTCAATAACTAGTTTAATGAGGACGCTCACAGCCACATCCATGGATGGATTTCCACTGGTATTGCCTAGTCTTCTTGTCACTGTTACTACATTCGTATTCGGTGAGGAAGACTCTGAGCAAACTGCAGCAATAACTTCACGTACCTCAGCAGGATTCAGCCGCAAAGGTTGTTGCTCACTGGTCAGCATAAATTAAAATTTTGCACACAGGACAAAAATCACTTAAAACAGCATAATGAATATTTGATAATTTCTTCAGTGAAAACTTAGGCAGCAGAAAATTTTCTCTTTGCCTATTAGTTTTACATGCTTTAACTAAACAGAAAGCAAGTCAATTGCACTGCAAAGTAAAATTAACATCCGCCACAAGTTCAAAAAAATAAAGAGAGACCATGATGACAGTAAAGCAAACGATTTACATGTTAACATGAGCATGCATACTATTATCATCAGGGAGGTTGCAGAGCTTCCTTTCCACTTTCCAATCCTCACACAACAACACATGGTACTAAAACACCTGCCCTCTCTATCTATCCATCCATCTATGTCTTTGTAGCTTTGTTCCTGACTTCCTAACCTATCTTCTCTCTTCCTTTTCTCACCAAAACGCACCATGTCACTCAACCAGCAAGGAGACAAGGCAAAGGGACATGGCACAAGGGAACTATTATAACATGCTATTTATATATGCTCATGTGACACATTCTTCCACCCACTCCCACTCACTATTACGTCACTTACCTACGCATCCCACCACTTCACACAAATATATATATATATATATATATATATTAAAAAAATGGTTCAACACCTTATTTCTTTTTATTGTATTTCTTTTTTAGAATTTTATCGGTTTTTTTATCAAGAGATGTTTTACTTTAGCCTTTGCAACAACCTTCCTTAACAAATTAAAAAAAAAAAATAGTAGAATTATGAGTAGTAATATTTTGTAATACTTGAAGGTTTCCGATTCCAAGGTAATATGCAGTGGTCCATTCAATTTTAATTAGTATCCGGGTAATATACATCTGTACACACTACACACAAAATAATAAGTATGAGTGATATGAAATAATAGGATTTTAAACAATAATAGTTCAGCTGGTTTCCAAGCAAAATAAGATCTTTCCCTGCATCAAAACCTTGTACGTGAACAAGCACAAACAAAACAATATCCAACAGGGCATTCAAATATAAATACACACACGCATATCCATTAAACACAAACACCTCCATTAAACATATAACTTATTAATTTCAGTTTTTGCATATAAATTTTGATGCAACAAAATATGTTATAAATGTCTCATGCTTCAAAAACAGCTGGACTGTTGTTATTTTAAAATTTTATTATTTCATATCACTCATCCTTCTTTTGTACGTAATCTATCCAAATACCAATTGCCTAATACTTACTGAAACTGAATGGAGCGTGGACCTCTGTATGTTACACAGGCATTGGGGACACACAAGTAATATAAAAATTTACTTCATATCTGCTAATAATTTTTTATTATTATTTGTCAAGCGAGAGTGTTACAAAGGCTAAACTATAACATCTACTAATAAAGAAATTATCATACAAAGAAAAGAAGGTATTGAACAACGCTTTTCAATATAACTATACATCTATTTATGTGAGTGGAGTAGTGGGATGTTCATGTGAGCGACGTAATAGTAGGAGCAGGTGCAAGAATATGTGACAATAGCATAAATAAATAGATGAATACAAGTATTTGCATGTGTGCATGGTTAACCCAAAAGCCACATGTAAAACACCAAGGAAAAAAATGGAAAATACACTTCCTAAACGATAAACATGGCAGGTAATATAGCAGCCAGTAAGAATAATCCTTACTTTTTTCTCTTTGTCCTCTTGCGTGATGTTTCGGTTGCCTCATTTTTTCGCCACTTATTTCTTACTTCCCCAACATACCCTATTTATAATATTTAAGAATAATCCTTACTTATTTCTTTCCCCAACATACCCTATTCATACCCTATTTTTTTTATTATTCATGCACTTGTTCTTTCTATTTGTCTTCATATCATGAATCAATATTAGAAAAATCTCACTAACTCATCTCTTTTTAAGCTTCACATTATTTTGGCGGTGTATTCTAAAATAATATATCACTTTATCCCATTTTCATTACTTTGAGATCACTCTAGCATGCATCATCCTTTATGTCACCACTTCAAAGATTTCTTTGTTTTAGCTTTTATTCATGATTCCCAAAAATGCCATAGCTTTCCCCTTTTAATGTGAAATCAACCGCATCCCTATCTTCCTATTTTATGCACATATACTTTCTATTTTCATTTCTACATGTAACAAGAATTAGTTTAATATGCTCAACATATTTTACCACAATTGCTCAAATAATTTATTGAAGATATATCCAAAAATACTATTAATTTCAGTGTTATTGTTGTTGATATGAGGATGTTACATGAGGTATCAAGAAAAGCACAAGAGAGATCCCAAAACAATGGCACATGCAATTAGAAATAGCCATTGAGAAACCACATGAACCATTTAATGAACTACTTAAACGTTCATAACCGGTCAAACCAGATTAGCCAGGCCAACCAAGCTGCCAAGCATGTGGGCACCCCTACATGCCACTGCCAACATAGCTGAAACGTAAACATATGTGAACCATAACTTCCAGAAAGAGCACTATGGTATCACTCTCTCCCATCACCACCCATCTTGAAAGCCATTTTAAAGAATTTACAAAGCTCTAGGAAATATGCGCATCCTTGTTCTTTTATTTTTAAAAAAAAAAAAGCCCACTATCAATTTTACACATTTATTATAGCAACTTTTGCTTGCTGAATGATGGAGAAAATTCTGAATCTGAGTTGGAAAGTAAAATTCAACTTTAATTTTTGTGCATCATTCTCAAGTTAAAACCAAAATGTGCATTGTAGCACCAATTTTGGGGTAATGAGAGAACATATGCAAACTCCTGCATCAAACTCTGTTGAATTTCTGTATCTATACCTGTAATGACGATACTGGAAGAGCTGTCGAGCTCGAGGACGGAATGTACTCATAGGAGAATCCTCCCTGCAGAGAAAGCGATGTTTAGGATAGATTATAAATCACAAAACACATTTAGCAAACAAAGAGTAGCGAATATAAACTTCAGATCTGCAAGTGAACTCAGGCAAAAAGATATATCTAACAACAGCTAACCATTTCAGTTACTTATCATCTAATGTCATCCTAAACAAGATAGAACACTTAAACTAATCTTATCTTCATTAAAACACAACAGTCAAGTGAGAACTAACTACACCGGAATATTATACAAGCTAACTACAAAACCAATCATCATTAATTAATAAAGGAAATACAATAACTAGAGGCATCTTCATTCAAAAGATGTAAGTTCTGACACCCCCCCCCCTTTCAAGCTGAATATTCCGAGGCTGGAGCTATTCCAGCATTGCCAGTTGTCTTTTTTCCAAGACCAATTCCCTATTATGCAGGAGTGCTAAAACCCAAAACTTCTGCAGCTTTCTGGTCCTTCTTTCAAAATAGATCTGTAAGAACTCCAATTGTTCTTTGGTAAAAGGATCGGCTGCTGTCTGCATTGTTTTTCATCGCTCATCACGAACTCATGGTTCTCATGTCTTGCTTTTGGCTTCCAATTTGATGGGTTGCTATGAATTTGCCAGAAGAACTCCTTGGTCTGGCACTTTTTTTGGCAATAATAATAGCACAACTTTCCTTCTTTTTGGCTTGTTCTCATTGCTGCAAGCTGGTAGGCCTTGTGCTGCCGATGCAATGGCTTTATCTTGATTTGAAGAAGGTGCAGCAACTTTCAATCAACCTCCTTAACTCTTCTCATGCCTTGTTTCCGAAAGCAGGACTTCAATTGAAGGTAAAAGTGGTAGAGCAGTGTAGTATCTATCCTTCCACATGCCTCATTTATTGAATTATTCACAAGCATAAGAAATTTATAAATCTTCCTCTTATAACCAATATGTCTGTACTTCGTTCTCATCCATGAATTCCCATATGTAGGTCTCCCATATGAGTCTAGCCTCTGCCAAAAAGCGTCAAGTATTGGTTTATGGGTATCTCCCCCAGTTTTAGTTCATTTATAGGCTTCCTAACTCAAGCTCAGGTGCAGCATTCTCGGGTTAAACATGACTCATGCACCACCTCCAAGACCTTATGGGCAGTCTTATATAGAGAAAATTTACCCTATTAAATTACTCCCATCACTATGTGATTCTTGGCATGCCAAATCTTGCCTTTGGTGTCATTTATTTCAATAGCAGGCTTGGCAATATAGGCAGTCCTCCTTCACTTTCCCACAAATAAAATGAGCAGATGGACTCCATTGACGAAAATTATCCAATTGGTATACCATCCAGGAGCAGTAATCTCCGGGAATGATCCTGGGGCTTCATTATTCAGAAAGATTTGGTAGCTGTATTAAGGCATAGGTTTAACAATCATTTTAACTTATTTCATTGAATGGCAACCACACACACACACACACACACACACATATATATAAGGTAAAGAGGAGAGGGAACTTAATGGTGATCATAAAGGTGTCGTATCAAAACTAAAACTAATCTTATCCTAAAACAGAACACTCACACTAAACTTAAGAAGCATCAAAACCAGAAAAAATATTAAAAACATATAAATCTTAACTAAGGCAATCCCTGAACGACTGCTTAGAGCTCGAGATGAGGCATTATGAACAATGCAGCTTCCTACACTTTTTATATTCTATATTGAATATTGACTAAACAAATAAAAAAAACTTAATTATAATAATTTCCAATAGTTTTCTCTAAAGCAGGCTACACTGAAAGCCCCACTCCCAGAAGTTTCGTATGAGAAACAAATATTTCAAAATTAACTAGGCTTAACAATAACTCATAATTTGGAAAAAGGGCTCAATTTTGAATTTTGAAAATTTTAATTTCTCGTTAGGTTTTACCTTTGTCTTTAATGCTAAAACCACACCGGCAAAATTTTTCTATCATCTTTTAGGCAGACGCAGATACAAGGCTACATTTCAGTTGCTATGACTTCTTTATTTCAGCCATGCCTAACAAAGGCAGTTGTTACATTTTCTCCAATATAGCAATCAATAAATTATCAACATCAAAAAACGGACCAGAACAATATGGCTCCAAGGTCGAACACTCTACGAGTCCATCAAAGTCTGAAAACGATAACAGAATCATTGGGAAAAAAATTGCAGTCTTTGATATAGCATTTAGCTAAAAATGAACACTAAGAGTTTCCCTCGCATTCCCTCGTTTAAAAAGCAAAGATGAGAAAAATAAATGATAGGGAAGAAACAGGGTGTTAAAAGATGTGATTATGAGTGAGAGAGCGAAGCAAGAAAGAGAGAGCATACCAAATCTGACGAGGGCCTGGTTTACTGCGTTTTGATGCTGTGATTGCTCTCAAGTGGGGACCAGAAGATGCAGAATTAGTAATTGGTGTTACTGGGGAAGACTGCAAAAGTTGATCCAAGTAGGGCATATCATCAGTTCCAAAAATTTTCCATGGTTGCCCTTTCATCTTAGATTCAACATTTCCCACGAGTAATGCCGCTGCGCCTACTTCTAAGAAATTATATGCCCTCATATCTTGAGAATTCACAGCATGATCACTATAGAAAAGCATGAAAAAAAAAAAAAAAGCAATTTATTTCTCAAGCAATATGAAGGGAAACAAAGCTATCATCAATAAGGTTGCAACCAAAACCAACTTTTAAGTGTCAAAATGAATTACTTTTCTGATGATGCCAATGATGGATGTTGCCAGCGCCATTTTAGTACATCAGGGGCAATGAATTCAAGTTCATCATTTTCAACAATAGTTTCAATTTTTGATAACTTTGAAGCAGATGAAGCAATTGAATCCTTGTCTAATGCTTCTGGAGCACTCACTGGAGATAATTGGGTTTTGAAGGATTTACTTAGCAAAGATGACAACGATGGCAGAGATTGTCCAGATGAAGAAGGTGCTCCAGCAAATGCAGCTGGTTGAAAATACCGTTTTGGGATGTGTTGAGCCACAAGGGAACGAACATAACTCAGTGACTTCACTAATGCCTCAGAAGCAAAGCTAGATACAGGCAAAGGAGATATATTTGTAGATGTTGGTGAGCCAGACTGTGGATTTAAAGATCGCGACCATGGTCGATTCAAGTTAAGATCACATTCAGCAATTATGTTTGAACAGAATCGATCTATCTGAAGCAATGTCTCCTCACTCGGTTTGTATCTGAATGAATTAAAATGAGTTGTGAGTTTCTAATGTCATATGACACAATAAATAAGGGTCAGTTTCTTGTCCAATACACGCTCATAACAGAAAAGATGCTAGTTGCTTGTTTCAGTAACTTTATGAATCAACAGAAAATGCATTTAATTCATTGATAAAAGGGAAAATAATTTTAGGACCACAGAGGAATTACTATTTTTATACCTTATGAATATAGCAGCACAAAAGAATTTCCCAGCATTCTTTGCACATCACAGTCTACTAAGGCTATGATTAACATAAAACGAGCTTCAAGGAGCACAAAGCTCAACATGGCTCCTCAAGCAAAATTAAATAACCCCACTAATGTAGATACCAGAATCAATTAATTTATGACAAAATAGTTTTAAAACAGAAGAATATCATTTTGTCAGATTTTCAATAGAGTTTGGAAGACTGAGAATTTTTGACATGATAATGTTAAGAATTTCCTTAGGGATCGGATGATTTATTTAAAACTACATCTTTTCTCCTGCATCATAAGACATAGAGGAAAAAAGAAGGGGAAGCCAGTGTCAATAGCTTGACACAGTGCCAAGAATACAATAACAATGCAGGGGGTTTGCCTGGTTAATTTCAACTTCTTTCTGACCCCCAGGCTAAGGCCCACCAACCAAATAAGTAAAGATTTCTGATGAGGAAAAGGCCACCCATGGTCATCCATCAGGATGAAATACCACTGTCACAAATCTATCTTTAATTTGGTCAGTCAAAGTATTCTATTTTGATAGAAAAATAATTTGAGAAGAGAAAAGCAATACAAAAAAGGGCAAAATGAAGTCCCAAAACAAAGAAAACAAGTACAGGTTCATTAGCTCAAAAGAAGTCTCTGATTAAGAACTCAGACATTCCACATACCATGTTGAATGCTATTGACTATTCACTCATTCAAGGAACGTACCTTAGAAGATACCGTTTCAGAAGTGCCACGCACCTTGTGACTACTGCAGGACTGGATAAATAGTAAGGATATTAGAAGTATAACTCAAGCTGCTTCAAACAATGTTCAAAAGCAGTAATAAAGGAAAACATGCAAGGATTTGTCCAGAATACAGACAGAACAAAGCACTCTCTCACATTCCACTCTGGAGGTTTCAAGAGGGGAAAAGATGCCAAGGCTCTATGGCAAAGTGCAGCATACAGTTATATTCATTATTTTGCTGCTTAGGGACAAAGGGAAAACCAGAAATTCAAAAATAAGTTTCTGTAGCTGCCTCTTTAGAAGTGAAAAATAGTTCTTAGCCCCTCAGTGAGGCATGGCTAGAGGCCAATTTAGAGGAGTTTCCTTATCCAACATGAAGATTGCAGTGACTGGTCCACCGTCCTTAGTAGAAGTTCTTTCCTTAATTTGTTCTGATTGTGCCATTTTTAGGTTTCTCCCGGGAGGATATGTTGTTATCCGCTCTTATACTTCTTTCATTCCCTTATCTTACAATATTTACAGTATATTAGTACAAAACAAAAATAAGGGGGAAATATACTAATACCCCCGGGGGTACTTTGACCAATTTGCAAATAGCCACCACTTACTTTAAAGCAGGGATAATAAACCCCTATACTTTGACAGTAAACATTACCATTCAAATGCTGTTAAATGTTCAATTAAGGCCCCGTAGGTACATATGTAGAAGAATGAAGAAAATCAAGGAAAAATCATGTAATCAAATATCTGAGGGTTTCTTGGGTCCTTTCTTTTTTAACGTTCTTATTGTTTTTATTATTTATTTAAAAATTATAAATGCAGATGACACAATTAATCCAGCCAAAAAAACATATATGTAGAAAATGGTAGTCAACCAGATCATGCCGCATGTCTTACTGAAAAAAGAAATCAGAACATGCCTAACAGAATATACAAGTGCCTTCTCAAAGAGTCCGATGTTTGGGTTTAATTAAACATTATTTGGTCTCATTACAACATCTAATTGTTCCTTGCAGGTTGTCCGCCCCAAAACATATGTTCCTAGTAAGTTTAGAAATGGTAGGACCTCTCAAGCCCCATATAATAAGAGTTGCATTCTTAAACCCTATAAGACAAGTCAAAAGAAGACTACTGAAATCATTCCAATGTTTTCATTGAGTCAGATACTCAATAACGATTTTTACAGTAGGTAGCAATATTGTTCATTGTGTTCTAAAATCAAAACCAAGGTCTACAGCCTAGGTCAATATGGGTTTAATGATCTTCTGATAACTTTCTTCTAGATCCAATTTGGTGTCTATAATGTTGTCAAATAGACAAAACTAAATTCTTGGCAAAGAGCAACAAAACTTCTTTTATAATCCTAGAAGGTAATTTCCTGAAACATACCATGTAACCCATCAAGCCGAACAGCCATATTCAGCAAAACACTGTATATCTTCAAAACAAAAATTGCATTACAGGCCTCACGAACACAACACACCATATGTTCATGACTAAACACAAAAAATAATACCTACATTCAGGCATTATTTCAATGCACTCTGAATGCCCAACTGTTATTTCATCTCTCTCCTTCAACAAAATTAGTTAATTCACTGCATTCCATAACCTAAAGTTAACTACAGAGTAATATTGTATCAGTGGGCCTAAACAATCTGAGTAGTATCACCATCTAGCCATTGTCCAATGTCGACAAATAAATGTAACAAATACCTGCGCTCCCTCTCCGCAACAGTATGTTCGAGAATCACATTATAAGCCAAGTCTATGGTTGCAGGAGCTGCCAGATAATCCTGCCAATCATGCATTACATCATAAAATGGATAAAGTTAAACTGTGGGCATTAAGTATCAGACATACTGACATCATAATTTGAATATAAATGGCCCTACAATATTAGCATACCCCACCACTGCGTGATAACAGGCAGGCATGGCATTAAAATCTGTTCAAGATGCAAATCCATGTTGCAAATGCTAAAGCTCATACACTTGAAGAAAGTACAATTGAATTATTTTTTTCTCCTCCCAACTACATAAGGAATCCAGTATTTTTCATATTCAGCATAAAAAAAGTACAAATATTTAAAAAAGGCATGATGTGAACATAACTATGTGTTGAGCATGAAATGGTAATTAGTATAGTTGGTATGATAGTTTTTTAGCCAACGTAGTTGGTATAATAAACTTCTGCAAATGACAAAGCAATGAGGAATAAAACATTTGCATTAAAAGTTTAAAGGCATTTTTCTCAGTCTTGTAGTTTCACTGATCAAGTCACGTCACACGCATGTGATTTAATGAACTGCATGCGCTATAAGTAAAAACTAGACACGCATCACCCTTAATTTAGAGAATAGTTCCAATAATTTCTGTACAGGTAGCACCACCTTCATATAGGGTGCTAAGCAAATTTAATTAACGAAGAAACTAACGATATGTAATAATGATGATGATATTAATAATTATAACATCAATTAGAAAGCCATATTAAGAATATCTCAGAGAAAAAATACTTCAGAAAGAAGAAGAAAGGATGAGAACAGCCGCTAGCTGAATAGAAATCAGCAAAAACACCAAAAGAAATGTACTTTTTCATTTCTGTACTGAAATTTCTTACATTGATTATCATATTTAAGAAGCCACGTTTGGTTCTACATTCATTGCTCGCCATTGGGATTCGGAAGAACAATTTTCTAAAGCTTAGCATCGGATACAAGTACCATAGCAGCTAGGCAAGTTCAATTTCAGCCAAATTGCTCACATTATGAAAAGACTGTAATAGAAACAAAACAAAAAAGCTGAAGTTTCCCCAGCCCTGTTCATACATGTTCCCCCTGATGAACCATAGAGATCATTCCAAACAAATTAAACCCACAAAAATAAACCGAGCGCCGCTCAATTCAAAAAGAGAAAGAAAACAATTTCAAGGCTCATCCATAGAATCCAACGCCAAATCCAAAGGCGCAAACCAACCAAACAAGATCTAAAACACAAAACCACAGCAAATTAGGAGCGAAACCCACGAACCCGAAGAGTCCTGGCAGCTTCATTGACCACAGCGGAAAAGGGGCTGCCCTGGTATGAAGTGGCCAATGACGAGGAGAGACAGTCAGCGACGGCTCTCCGCAACGGTTCCGGTACCTTCTTGAGTGACGAAGATCTCAACCTCGAAACACCCCCGACGCCAATTAACTGTATCCTCGAACTTCCTGGGCTACGACAAGGACTATAGGTGGAAGACATGGGTGTTCAACAGAATCACCAGCAGTATACTAAGCTCACAGTGAAGTGTGAATCTGGAATTGCCCGAAGCCAGTTTGGGAGTTCCTCAGCATTTGATTACAATCGAATAATCTGTGTCTTCGTGTGACAGAAAGAGAGGAGAAAAGGAGTGCGAAATGGAGCACAACGGACAGAGAGAAGGAAACAGAGTATTTGGTTGAGATTTAGAAATGGAATTCTTACTAATTCTTAATTTTCGCAAGTGTGCATTAGCTGTACGTACAGGCGTAGTTTTAGTTTTATGAACACTATGAGCTGGCATGCGCTAAAAATTTGAAGCATTGGGGCAGTTTCGGGATTCCACACTTCCTTCTAGGGTTTTTTTCATCTCTTCGCTGGCCAGAGTATAAAGTGGGGTGACCTCACCTCGTTCAAGTTCCAATTTTTAAATGAAAATTTATAACCAATCACTGATGGTATATGGTTAAAATAGTGAAAAGGAAGTAAAGAATATAACTTTGGATTTATTATATTATTCTGGTTAAATAATAAATCATCATATTATTATGAAAAATATAACTTTTAGTGTCTAAAATTTTTGCTTAATTATTAATTCATTCCACAGATATTTACTTAGAACAACACGATCTTTATAATTTGGATTAACGACTTATAGGGATTAAATTGTCTCAAGCAAAAATAAATAAATTACAAGAACTGATTTATTCTAAGTAAAAATAAGGAATTAAGTTGTTTTAAATCAAAATTTAAAAATCAAATTAATGATTAAGAAAAAAAGATGGGAACCGGAAATTATATTATATATTATTAGTTAAAAGTTTTATTTCATTATTCTTTCCTGCATGTAATCATGGAAGGAAATAAAAAGCCTCATGCTTATATATAACTAAGCCTTGAAATGGTATTTTTCTTTGAGGTCATTCCATGATGAGCATCAACTATCATAAGTTATTCATTAGAATAATATGACTTCTCAAGTACTATCTCTCACTCAATTTATTAATTTAGATATATTAAGAAAATTACTAAATTATTTAAGTATAGCAGATGTTACATGATGAGATTATCTTTCTAAAATATTTACGTGAATCACTTGATTATATATCAATTTATAAGCCAAACAAATTAGTTTTAAAAAAATTCTTAATATTTCTAAATTAGTCAACTGGATTTTATATTAAGAACTAGAGACAATATAAAAATTACTACGATGTCGTCCTTTGGTCAATGGATACTGATGTTAACCATTTTTTCCATATTGGTTTTGGTTTGAACACATTTTTACCCTTAAAGTATTCGTAGAAAGGTATTCCGCACCATAAAATTCAAAAATTTGAAGGAGTCATAACTATTTTTATGTTTATGACGTCATATGGCTTGCTAATTGAGTACTGAGTATTTATCACCAGAAGAAGTGTTACTCCACATTAATGATCAAAGGGTTATAACAAATTATATGAATAATTATTAATAAAAATCTGTCAATCTTATAAGTATAGACACATGTTAAATGTGACATCACCTTTAGTTAGCAGTTAGCGTGCGCTGACAGATTTTTTTTTTCTATTTTTACATGAAAGCTTAATTGGGAAACTAGTGCAATCTATTTCTTCCTATTTTCTAGCTACATGTTTTGATGTTGATAATTAGGGAAATTTGAAATTTTTTGTTTTTAAACAGAGAAGTTCTTTATTAACAAGTGAAAAACACATAAGAAAACATTGCAAGTTTATCATTACTCCCCGTGGATAGATCTTTTGCTTTTATCTATGAATACTTAGTTGATAAACCATGTAGTAATACCTTTAGACAAATGTCATATGCTTTAGTGTTAAAAATATTAAAATCTAATTTTGCCTTTGATAAATTTTTTTTTTTTTAACTAAGGCATACCAAGAGGGTGTTTAGATTAGAGACAGTAAAGATGAGGTATAATATATATTTAATAGGGATAAAATTAAAAAATTATTGAATTTTAAATGAGAATTAATGAAGTTTAAGATTTTCCTTAACATGTGATAAACTTATTGAAAGTGACTTATAAATAAGACTAGAGGAGTATTTTATATAATTTTTGTAAACTTAAGTTGGAATAAACGTCAATTAGTTTAATGTAATTTATATTCAAATTGACTTTTGTATAAAATTTCATTTAATAAAATTTAAATTTGTTTGGATGATTAATAAAAAAATAAATTTAGTTATAAAATAATGAAATGAGCATAGATTTTATTAAATAATACATATTTATATTATTTGTACATGATGTGATAATTATAAGAGAAGTATTAAAATTAAAATTGCAAAGATAAAAATAATTAATATTATTGGCAAAATTTTGAAATTAGTAAAATACTTAAGTTTTAAGAAAATTGAGAAAAAAGTTTCTCCATTAAAATTCTAATTGTTAAAAAGTATTTAAATCAAAGCGTTTGTATAAAAATTTAATTTGTTACTATTCCAATTAAATTTGTAAAGACTTTTTCTCGAATTTCTCAAAATTTTATTATTTAATTTACCCATTTTTTATATTATTATATACAAATATATAGTTATTGAGTATTTTTGGAGTAATTTTTTTTATTAAAGTGTGCCCTTTTCTTTCATCTCATGATCATTTTTTTCCTGTTTTGTTATGCTTTTTTTCAAAAGTCGATTTGCCCTAATATGAATCCAATCCACGCCTACTTTTGAATAATCCAACTCATGTTACCCTCTTTTCAGGGCGCATTTTGCCCTCCCAGTGGTCGTCCAAATACATGTAAATATCCTAAAGCGAAAATTGATGTGAGGTCACATTAAAAATGGTGGAATTCACAGCAATTTTATTTTGAAAATTTTCACTTAAGAGTGTTGAGCACTTGAAAGTTTTTTATCCTTATTATTATCCTAAAAGTCGAAATTCATAACAATTTTACCCCATATCATCAAAAATATTAACAATCACTACTATTATTTTTAATAATTAACGTTAGTTTTATAATGATATGGAACAAAATTGTTATGATTTTAAATTTTTTAGATAATATTAAACCTAAAAAAAACTTTTAAATACTCAATATTCTTAAATGAAAATTCTCGAGGTAAATTTACACCTTAGTCCAAAATGGCACAACATTACTCTTCTTTTAAATATTTGTTATTTCAACTAGTCAAATAAAAGGGGATGCAATGCAACGGGATAGAAAAATATCCTAAATTAATTAGTTGAAGTATGTTTTAAATTTTGGGGTTAATTAGTCCGCAAGTCCTTATAGTTTCAACTAATTTTGAATCAAATCCTTATAATTTTTTTTCTTTTTATTAAGTCTTTATACTTTTACTTGTTTTTAATTAGGTCCTTGCACTTATTTTTCTTTTTATTAAGTCCTTATAATTTCACTAAATTTTTAATAATGTCCATGTATTTTTAATTTTTATTTATTAATTAAATATAAACTTAATTAAATAGATTAATACTGAAATATAAAATATTAATAATTAAATTAATAATTATAAATTAAAATAAATAATATAAATAATTAATTCAGGAAAAATTTTTTGGAACAATTAATTTTTTTAAAAAAATAAAATTATTATAATAATTCATTATTTCCATAATATTATTGTTTATAAACTAATATTAAATAATATATACTATTTTATGCTTATAGAATAGTACTATTAGAATTTATAAAATAAAGAATAAAAAATTCAGGGACTTAATTAAAAATAAGATAAACTTATAAGGACTTGATAAAAAGAAAAATAAATGCAAATGACTTAATTAAAAACAGAAAAAAGTATAAGGACTTGATAAAAAGAAAAAAAATTATAGGGACCTGATTCAAAATTGGTTGAAACTATAAGGACTTACAAATTAATTAACCCTAAATTTTGAGGATGAAACTTTACTTTAAAAAAAAAGAAGAAATGATAACATTACCAAATTTTTAAGGTAGATAATCTGAGAATTATTTAAGCTTACCAGAGAGCAAACCCAAATTTATGAGACTTGGAAAAAATGCATGGGACCAATAATTAGTAACTAAACAATTATTTTTTAAAAATAGAATATATGATCATGTGATTAAAAAATTTGATATAAACAATATAAAAAAAAAACTTGATGTGCATTTTTTTTTTCCAAACTCCTGGGACACTTAACTGAAGACGTGGTTTTTTTCCCCCTTCTTGGCCAAATCATACGTCTAGCCCAAAAAATAAATTATAGAAACTAACGTATTGATGTTTGGTGATCATAAATATTAATTTTTATGAAAATAAAGTATAGAAACCAAGTTAAAAGTTAGTATTATTTGTAAAGAATGATATTTTTTTAAAATGGAAGATTTTTCTTTTTCTCACGGCAACGAAAAAGGTTTCCCAAACTAATTAATTAGCCAATGCTCCGTTGGGGGAAAATATAAGGGAAATGACACTAAGGTCTCATAAAAGAGAAAATAGTACAAAAAGGTCCCCACAAATCTGATAACTATTTAGGAGTCTCAAAAGGACTTGGTTGCAATAAGACAAATCATAAAAAGACAATGTTGTCCCTGCTAAAATGAAATCTGATTTTGAACCCCATTCCTATCTGCACTTTGCTAGCTCACTCTCCTCTCAAAAACTAGCGCCAAATCAACCCTCATCGAAAGCAAGGAACCTCAAATATGTTTACCTTCACCATAATCATTGAAGATCGTCTAGGTATAGGGCATCATTGAAGCTGTTTATGGTCGAAACAAAGCTGTTGTTGTCAGTATCTCTATGTTCATCCATGTTCTTCATTTATAGCAATGTATTCCTTTTGTTTCTCTGCAAATTTTTTGAGTTTAAAATGCTACATTAAAACCTTTGGGTTTGTTATTTAAGTTGGGGTTTCATTATGGGTGGATAAGATGATGATGGGTGCTTTATTTTTTGTTATATTGTGGGTGGCTTTGCTCTACTTTAGCATGGCTTAGTGTGAAAAGCTGAAGAAGATGAAAATTGGATTGGGTATAAACCTCTTCTGCAAAATGCGATATTATATTGTCAATGTAGGCTGTAAAAGTTGTCAATGGATGCCACAATACTTGTTAGTAGGGTTGCTTTACTTGTCAATAACAACTGGATGATTGTTGATGCATGTTTATATTAATGATGGCCAGTACGTCTAGGATTCATATAGGGGTAAGTTTATAAATAATGGAAAAGATGATATGAGATATATTGGAGGTGGTGCAAGAATAAAATTATACAAGTATAACATATCACAGAAGTTTTT